AACTACCCCCACAATGTACTTAGGAAAAATTCCTAGTGAGGAGATAACGTTATGAATAAACAAAGACATGCCATCAAAAACATAACTTGTAAAATAACCAAGTCTCGCAATGATGATACGGCCATGTCGCTGTTTTGCTCGACTTGGCGGGGGCACTCCCGTGCCCTCAGATATCTCGCCGTAAACGCGAACAGTCCGGGTTCGATCCCCGCTAGTGTTGCCAGGTGTCCCGATTTGCGCGAGACGTCCCGATTTTCAAGGGTCTAGTGACAAGTCCCGATTCACCCTTGATTGGGACGCCAAATGTCCCGATTTTCACTAACCTTCTTATTCTATACTTTAATCCATAATTTCGACAGCAAAAATGATTACATCGGTTAACTACTACCACATTAAAACATTTTTACTACGACATTATCTCACCAGTCGAAAAAAAAAACACAAAAGTTTTAAACAGAATTATATTAAAATGAGTGATTTGAAAAATTCAGGGACTGCAAAAAAAAAAAACAAATATTCAAAAATGTTTTAATTTGCCTAAAATGAAAAAAATTCAGTTTTTACGATGTTTGGATGAAAAGTTATTCGATCATGAGATCAGACCTGAATAATAATTATAAAGCACAAAAGTAAAGTTACAGTCACAATTTCTCGCATTACTCGCATACTGTGATATTTACAGTTAGCGTTGACCATCTGAGCTACCACGGCTCTCAATAAAGCACAAAAAGGCTACAAAGAAACCTATATTTTGTAGTCATTATAGTTGTCCGGATATGAAAACCAAATCCCCTTTTTATAAATTAATTTTTTTAATATTTTAGTTCCAATAGTATCTAAGACAGGTATATAATCAAAGATCAAAGTGATTCGTGATACTAAAGGCAACTATTATAGGGTACGTTCCGAAATACAACACAGTACACTGTCGAATGCCAATGACGTCATTAATTGACGTCGTATTCCACCATATTCGATACAACGAATCACCAATATGGCGTCGATTTATGACGTCATTCGCATTTGACAGTGTACTGTGTTGTATTTCGGAACATACCCATAGCCTCACGCTCGTCCTGACACGCACACTGACAAAAAATTGTAGTGTGCGTCAATATTACGCCGTTCCAAAGCGATCGCGTAGATTTCGACTTGAACATATTTGAATATGCGCTCTTAAGATGATAGAGTTAAAGTTGTTCAAAACGACTAAAAATCAATAGCAGGCTACAGACTATGAACTATAAATTTCTAGCGCGCTATTAAATACGCTATGTTATAGCGCGCTATATAAATATAGAAATTTATATAGCGCGCTATAACATAGCGTATCTATAGAAAGTGTGTAGGAGGCCGGTAAGAGCGTTAAGTTTTACAGCACGATATATCTCTTAGCACATTACATTACATGTCGTTTATTGGATAGATCGCGTGCTATATAAGAACATTATTTCGTAATAAGTCGCATTTTAGACTAAAATAAAATAAAACGGTAAAGAAAAACCAATGCACGCGTTTTCATACTTTTCAGGTTTACTACTTTCTATAATCCTAAAAATATTTTTAAGTTATGCACTATTTAAAATAGAATTAATTTTATTTTTAGAATCGAAATAAAATTAATTATTTTTTATTATAATTGATGTAAACGTTATTTAAACTTAATATAAATTATAAATCAAATAAAGGTGTATTTAAAAGTTTATTTATTGTATTTGTAAAAATCAATTATTTACATACACTATTATATATTCTTCTTTTATCTTCTGGCTTCTTTTATCACAACTGTGTCCTTTGATCACTTATAAATATACAGTATACACTAACTAAACAACGTCTAACACTAAATTAGGTCGCGCGCGATGAATAGCGCGCTACTAGATCAAATTTGCGTCACACGTCCTCTCCCAACAGCGCTGCTGCTAGAACTAGTTGCCGCTAGATATTAATACTTGATAGCGCCAAAGCGCCATAGCGCAACAGCGCCATGGCGACTACTTACATAACACGCGCTATGTGTTATGAAGAGATAGCGCGCTATAATATGGCGCTATGCGTTAATAAATGCTATGCGTAAATGCTCAAATTCTAATTTCGTCCCCACTTGCCCGCGCGTCGTATGCTATGTACCGACATGTTTGTAATCACTAATACTGTAAGTAGAAAGGTCGTTAGACACTTATTTCATTAGGTTTATCATATTTATGCCTTTTTCTTAACGCCAAGCCAGTCGTTTCTTATTTTTATTACGGTTATTTCCCATTTTAATTTTACGTCGTCCTGTTGCGTAATGTATATTCTGATCGTAAGCGACACAACCTCCCCGTTCAAAGGCCGAAGCGAAGTCACCGTGCGGCAGGAATCACGCTTCAAAAGGCCGATAGTTTAGATAATTTCTTTTTACAGTGAAAATAATGGTATTTTAAAAAAGTAATGTTTCATGATCTTATTTAAAGTATTTTATGAATAACAGCGGTTTATTGTTTATTTTGGAGGTAATTTTGGATTTTTTTTATCGAGGCAATTTTACGAAATCGTGTTTTCGTCTAACATAGTACTTAACATTAATCCTCAACTTTACCATATCATCATCATCATCATTACAGCCCTTCACAAGTCCACTGCTGAACATAGGCCTCCCCCAAGTAATGCCACAAAGCACGGTCCTGGGCCACCTGCATCCATCGACTTCCTGCATGTCTTACCAGGTCGTCACTCCATCTAGTGGGGGGTCGCCCTACACTACGCCTACCGGTACGAGGCTGCCACTCGAGAACCTTTCTTCCCCATCGGTTATCGGTTCTTCGAGCTATATGGCCGGCCCATTGCCACTTCAGCTTACTAATCCGTTGGGCTATGTCGGTCACTCTGGTTTCACTGCGGATATCCTCATTTCTGAGTCTATCACGCAGTGAAAAACTCCGAGCATAGCCCTCTCCAAAGCTCGCTGAGCGACCTTGAGCGTCCTCATACGGCCAGCAGTGAAGGACCACGTCTCAGATCCGTAAGTCATCACTGGCAACACGCACTGGTTGTACACTTTAGTTTTCAGAGATTGAGGTATACCTGATGAGAAGATGTGTCGTAATTTCCCGAACGCTGCCCAGCCGAGTTGAATCCGTCGATGGACCTTTCGGTCGAAGTTGGACTTACCTAGTCGGACTATTTGTCCCAGGTAAACGTACTCGTCAACAACTTCGAGCATAGTGCTCCCAACAATTACCGGCATAGGTGTGACATGGACATTAAACATGATCTTTGTTTTGTCCATGTTCATCTTAAGACCTATCCGTTGGGAGACACCATTGAGGTCATTGAGCATAGTGCTAAGGTCCTCCAGCGATTCTGCCATAAGGACTATATCGTCGGCAAATCGAAGGTGAGTGATGTACTCGCCATTGATGTTAATACCGTATCCTTTTCAGTCCAGTAGCTTGAAAACGTCTTCCAACGCAGCGGTGAAGAGTTTCGGGGATATAACATCACCCTGTCTTACGCCTCTCTGCAGTTGGATAGGTTTCGTACTCTGGTTCTGTACTCGGATAGCCATCGTAGCCCTACTGTACAAACACTTCAGCACTTCAATATACCGACAGTCAACTAGGCACCGCTGAAGGAACTATAGCACCGCCCAAATTTCGACGGAATCAAAGGCTTTCTCATAGTCCACATACGCCAGGCAAAGTGGCAGATTGTACTCTTCGGACTTCTGTACAATTTGCCGAAGGGTATGTATGTGGTCTATGGTACTGAAGCCTTTTCGGAAACCGGCTTGTTCGGGAGGCTGGAAGTCGTCGAGTCTGCGTGCGAGACGATTCGTAATGACTCTCGAAAACAGCACGTAGACGCGGCTCAGAAGGGAAATCGGTCTGTAGTTCTTCAAGAGAGCGTTGTCGCCTTTCTTAAAGAACAAGACCACCGCGCTTCTGCTCCACGCCTCCGGAGTAATGCCACCATGGAGAACGGAATTGAAGAGCTTCTGAAGGACTTCAAGTACCGGTGTTCCACCCGCTCTCAGAAGCTCCGCTGTTATTCCATCCTCGCCCGGGGCCTTGCTGTTTTTAAGGTGGTGGAGAGCCATTCTAATCTCGCTCAGACTGACGTCCGGGATATCATCGGAATAGTGTCGGATAAGACTGGCTCTTGGATCGTTACTCACACTTGCGTGTGGCTCCAACGATGATGTGTACAGCTGCCCATATAACCTCTCAATCTCACTCAGAATCTCAGGTGTCCCGGAAACGATGTTGCCACACTCAGTCTTCAGCCTTGACAGTTGGCTCCCTCTGGCAGACAGATCTCTGGCAAAGACTTTGGAGCCCTGGTTCCGCTCGATCGCTTCTTTAATACGAGCAGTATTAAAGTTGCGTAAGTCTGGCCGCATGCATTTGGAGATCTGTCTGTTCAGCTGCCTGTATGCTGTCAAATCTGTTGACGATTGCAGCCTCATCTCCCGTCTAACAGCCATGAGATTAAGAGTGTGATCGGAGAGTTTTTGTGTTCTTCTGCGGCGGGTCTTGCAGAACTTAGCTCCGACCGCATGGACAGTTTCCACGAGCTTGTCATTCGTGTCGTCCACGGCATTGCAATCCTCTAGGCACTGAAAGCGGTTTTGTAACTCGAGCTGAAAGGTTTCGGGATTCTGGATTAGAGCACGAGGGGGACGGAGCGTTGACTTCATTAGACGAGACCTCTCCAACTTAACTTTTAGGTTCAGTGTGCCTCTAACCATTCGGTGATCGCTGTCAGTTTTCACCCTTGCGATCACTGAGACATCACTGAACAGAACTTTACCATATATTTATTTCAAAATTAATGCTGCAATATTTTCGGCATAAAGAAGGATCTTGCTAAGCCATTTGAGATTATATTTCCCCTTAAAGCCACAGCGTTTGCATTGATGAAAAAGGTGGAATTGTTGGTGGTTTCTAGTTTTTATTACAAGTAATTTTTTTTGTGTGTAACTAAGAATATAATATATTAAATAGATCCGGTCCAACCTGTGCGCCCTGAGCGATACCCCGCGTATTTTCTGCGGCTCGACCGTGTCCTTGTTGGTGACCTGAGTGGCGAAGCTCGGCGAACAGTAAAGAGTCACGTCGCAGAAACGCTCTGTAAAGAGAACATTGTGTAAGTGTCAAGCTATACAATGTAACAGTCTTAATTCGAATAATATACGTGGAGGAACTAAGCTTCAACTACATTACGGTCGTAGCCATAGAATACTATAATACACACATAATGGAACGGGGGAGTGGGCGGAGCCTGTGTAGCCACTAACACGTCAATTCACACGTATAAATGTCAACACAATCAATCGTTTCCAATTTTCGTATCAAGCGTCGCCGCTTGCAAATTATTAAAAAAAGGCAAATTGGGCAATAATTACGTGTCGAAAGAACTGCGAGAAATGGAATTTAAATAAAGGAGACATATTGTACAACCAGTAAGTCGAACTTATTTATATTTTGTGAATATTAGAAACAAAAATAAAGAAAAGTTTATGTGTCAAAAACATTAATCAAAAGTCTAAATGTGTTTGTAGTAGCGATAACTGATAATACGACGTAATTGATTGTATGTGTACTCCCGGCGACGCCAATTCTCCCACAAAGTAAGTTTAACAGCCATTCTATTGTGTATTATAGTATTCTATGGTTGAAGCAATGGGTCACCTTGACTGGAGTAAGAGCACGCGCTCACAGAATACCAGCGTAAAATAGCAGCTAAATGTTACTGGGTTTCGCAAGGTGAATGTAGAGAACAGAGATCCTTTTTTACCGGAAACGAGGCATTCCATGTTAGTCCTGAAGGGTAACAACGCATCTGCATTTTAATTCGTAATCGAGGATAGATGTAGATGTCTATGGGCCGCAGCAACCACTTACTATCAGCTGGACTCAAGTGCTCGTCTGTCACCTTTAAGGTTGCCCTAGTCGATGGCACGAACTAAGTGGTGGGCGGGGCAAAAATGCATGCTATCTCAGCCGACATCTCGTGCGAAAGGGATAGACGCTGTGATGAGCAGTAAGAAGCTAGTGCGCACACACATACGCACTCGAGTGACGCAATGCGCGACGGCATCATCGCGTACCTAGGTACCTATGCGATTCATTTTAGAATAATAACATAAACTCAAACGGCACTTGTGAACTTCGTGCCGCAATAGCTTAGCAATGAGTAGCTGCGCTGAGTGCCGCGGGTTCGAATCCCCCACGGAACAAATATTTTGTATGGACTACAAATAGTTGTTTCGGGTCTGATGTTTGTTCTTATGCAATTTATATTTGTAAACTGCCTCCACGATACTGGAAAAAATCGGGAATAACGTATTTTAAAAAGAGAAAGGAGAGAGAAAGCAAATTGGTGTTATTGTAACTTAGAATCTGCTGTGTGAAACGTAATTATTATGAAACCAATTTATGTACTTAGTTGTTATGATGAAAGTTCTTATGTGAACTTAAGTAGATGTTGTTATTATATAATAATTCCATTGATTTGTTTTTACCTACTTTTTAACCGACTTCGAAAAAAGGAGGTGGTTCTCAATTCGTTGGTTTTTGTTTATGTATGTATGTTCTGTCCCCCGATTTCTCGAATATACCTGAACCGATTTGGATATATTTTCCAGATAATCCCACGGTAATCGACGATGATCAGATCAGGATCTGATGATGGGATCTTGGAGAAATCGGGGGCACTCTTCAATAAATGACAGCAAATCAACCGCGATTGCTGCTATCGCCTATCTATGCATTCTTTACGCAACCACACAATATAATATCACGCCTGTACCCACTAAAGGGACATAACTCTAAACTAAAAATGGTAACATAAAACACTTTTTTTGAAAAAAATATAACAATTTCTAAAACAAACACAAAAAAGTGTAACATAATTATGTTTTCTGTATGTTTTTGTATTTTACTGTAGGTTATGCAAATATTACTGTAGGTACTATGTATTATAAATAGGTATTTACTTTCCATAGCTAGTTAGCTATAATAGCCCGCAGGCAACTCCCCGATCCCGAAGTATATGTCAGCCAGTGTCAGGATAACTGCTTTTTCGACAGCGCAATTTTGATGTGAGTGTGGCTTTTATATAGGTAAATTAAATAAAAAAATGTTAGTTTGTAAATTGTTTATTGATTGTTTGTGTTCAATAGCGGTTTGAAATATTCTCTTAGTACTTAGAAAGTTATCAACAATAGGCATTGTGTCACTGCAGGGACAAGCACAAACGTCTATCAAAATAGTAACGTATATAAACGGAATACTAACAGCATAGACTTCCTTACAGAAGTCCAAAGAACACGTCTAGGCAAGGTAAGTAATTAGAAGAAAACTACAATTTAGAGATCGATTGTAAATCAAATTCACAGTACAGACACAATTAGCGAAATATGAATAAAATTTTTATTTATTTTATGATAGATAACGCTAGTTGAAAACTAAACACTGTATGGGAATGGCATCACTGAACGAGTCAGGTGATCAGTCCAAACAAATAAAAGGCGCGATTGTAGAAAGAAATTCGTTACTTGGTCGGGGCTTGACCTGTTTATGCTATTCATAACGAAGGCTATAAATATGTAGGTATAACTTAGAAACTAAATCCTATGTGTACTTATCTGTATTCATAACCTAATGTCTAAGGTAGGTTATTCTGTAATAAAAGTAAAGTAAAGTAAAGTTACAGCCTATATACGTCCCACTGTTGGGCTCAGGCCTCCCCCTATTTTCTGAGAAGGTTTAGGGCAAGGAAGTGTCTGCCGCGCTGCCCAAATGCGTGTTGACGAACTTCACATGTCTTCGAAATACTTTTTTCTTATTCCTCAGACATGCAGGTTTCCTCACGATGTTTTCCTTCACCGCCGAGCACGTGGTAAATCAGCACTTAAAATTGCAATTAACAATTTCATTGGTGCCGGCGGGGATCGAACCCGGGTTACTCGCGTTCTGTTATATTTACAGCGAGCGTTAACCACTGAGCTACCATGGCTCTGTAATAAATTAAATCCAAAATATAGGTACTATAATACCATAGCAAAGCTACTACTATTTTTTTAGTAGTAGCTTATATAGTAGTATAGTAAATTATATATAAAAAAATATGAGTATGTCTGAGGTAAGGTTAAATATAAACAAATATTTTGCCAAGTGCGAATCGGACTTCCGAGCTTCCGAGATTACAAGATTTTAAATACCTATACATACAAAAGCCAAAAATACACGTTTCTTTTTCTAGTAGAAAATCCTTTAATTTCAACAATAGGTATATTAGAATATGAGATTCCTATACGTAAGCACGATTATCGAAAATCTAAAAATTACCTATTCTAATTCAATTAATAGATAATTTTAAGATTTTCAATAATCGTGCTTATCTATGAGATGTTTTCGTTAGTTAGCAAATTAAAGTAGTTAAGTACCTAATGTACTATCTGTATCGAAAGTTCATTATTATGTACCTACCTGTTTTCAATTTTAACTAAACGTGCTTCAACAAACTTATGGGAACATTTTAGCAGCTATATTCATACCGGCTTCAGCAATGGACACGAACAAAAAAGGAAGCAATTTTTCTAAATAAAGATGTAGATAATATGTAGGTATTACAACCATAAATAGATAGGAGCGGCTAACCTAGTGAGTATGTGTGAGTGCGCGCTGCGCCCCCCCCCCCTCCTCCGTCCGTCCCACTGATCGGGGAAATAATTTGTAGCGAAAGGCAAGATGTTTTATAACAAAAACGGGCGCGCGAAATTTTATAAACAGACCTTTGGTAGTCTGGATGTCACGAAAAATCTATTGAATGTATCTGTTTAAAATAAAATTATTTGCATTTTTGAACAACTAATCTATCCCTGTATGGTAACTGTTTTGCAATTTTCGTTCTTCTTATTATTATTATTTATTATTATTAGGTATTTATTTCCGCCCAAAGATGTGTTAAAAATAGTGTTGAAATTCGGAATTTTCGACGCTTATAACTTATAAATATACTCTTTTTTTTACTTTTTTGTTTCCATACAGGGCTAGATAATGATGAGACCAATTGAAATCATTTTTTATTTTGAACGTACACCATCAAACAGTGGAGTTATCGCCGGACTACGTTTGTATGGAAGAATAAGCGACTAGTGTACCCTTAATCTATAAAACAATTAGTAGGCGCTAATATATTCTGTAACCAACTGATCTTATAAGCAAATTAGCAGATAACATTAATATATACTAAATTAATACATCTATGGGCATTTATTACGCATATATTTAATTTTTTTTCTTTTTTCAATTTTAATTTATTTTTAGTGTACGTTAATATAGTAGATAACCTAAGATATCAATGTAATTTGGATAATTTATTAATAAACTAAATTATTTATTAGTTTATTCATAAAATATTATTGTAGCTTATCACAATCGGCTTCCTTTAGGGTTATCACTACATGATGATGATGTAATATTGGTTTTGTGCATTCTCAATCCACGACGCAGAATTCGGACAAATCCTGACGTGTGGTATACCTAGCTTTTTTCAATCTAAAAGGAAGAGGAGTTTTTGCAATTGGTAGAAATATTCAATTAAAATATTTTTTGATGTATCATACCAGTATTTTTATGCTGCCTCGTTGGTTTTTCCTCCTTTCCTAAGAATTAAAACGCAAACGCGTTGTCCACCCTGAGGACTAAGATGGAATGCCTCGTTTCCAGTAAAAACGGTCTCCGGTTCTCTACACTCACCATACGAAACACAGCAGCACTAAGCTACTATTTTACGCTGGTATTCTGAGAGTGTGGTCCTGCCCCGGTCGACCCGACCCATTGTGCTACAGCCACAATATAGCCGCAGAGTGGCTCTACCACGTTTAAAATTAATTATAGCTAACGTTGCCAGGCGTCCGGATAAAGCCGGACACAGTCAGGCTTTTTTGGTTGCGTGTCCGGACAAATTAGACGGTGTCCGGCTTGTCCGGCTTTTATTTGACAAGTTTTTTACATTTCCCTTGTACTTACACTACTGCAATTATTGAAATTAAAAAAAAAAATTATGTTATAATGAATACCTATTGAGAGATTAATAATAAAGAAGACTGACATCTAATT